TTTTGTGTGTTGGTAGCATTCTGTTAAAGGGATGTGCTATAATTAGCCAAACTTCACTGCTGGGCATTTAAACAGTTTACCATTTTGTAGCACGTTTGCAGTGAACAGTGTAGCACACACTTCTGATTTAGGATAAATTCCTCAAAGCATGTACGCATATGGTTTTAAACTTTCCATTTTGTTCTTAGGCAGGTTCCTTCAGCATACATCTCACTCAGGGGTATACATTTTCCTTATTTTATATAAAAGTCGTAGTTTCCAGATTCTTGGGAGAACTGTGCAGCAGCCTCTTTTATCTAACTTTCTTCTGACCAGTGGATTCTGATGTGGCCCTTTGAAATGAGCTTGGGAGAGGCTTCTGTGATGCTTGTATTTTCAGTCTCAGATAAACGGCATTTTAAACAATCTGAAATGAGTATGTGAAAGTAGCGATCGTGGGTGTAGTCTTTCTGAAGGGCAGCTGAGCAGTATCGGTATTGAATGTGCACACCCTTTGACTCAGTAGAAGATTTTAATTGTGGCCTAAAGATGCAATCAACCCAAGATACTCTTGCTTCCATAACTTGTGATAAATCAACGCCACAGGTTCTCTGCAGCCTTAAAAATGACAGAACAGATTCATTAACCTGTTTTGGTTTGAGGATCTTGCTAAGAATCTGGTAAATGCTGTGTCTTCAACCCACGAAAATGCATTTATGTACAGTATTTAGCTGTCAATTTCATTAGTTCATGGTTCTCTGAAGTCCATCTGTGATTGAGGCCAAGCTAAACCTTCTTGATCTAAATCTTTAATGGCAGGGGAAAATGCGCACACTGCACTGATTACTGATATGTAAAAATTATGATCTCACTCCATTCCCTCTGCCGGTAGCATTCACACAGATGGCTCCTTGTTCAGACTTCAGTGGAAACCTCACCTCAGGAGAGCCCTTCCTGATTATACCCTATCAGTATAGGCCTTACCCTCCTGCCTATCCAATTCTCAGCACCCCATTCTTTTCTTTAATAACACCTTTGTGATGATACATTTGTGTACTGATTTATGGCCTCTACAAGAGCAGAGTCTAAGTGTGACTTGTTCATCACTGCATCCACAAGCCACAGCCAGGACTACTTGTTTTTTGTGAGCCAAGAGTAGTTTTCACAGGTGAACATCTAATCAATTGAAGACAGGAAAGGCCAACTTGGAGCCCTAATTCAGCAAAATGTTTCCCCCAAAAAGAATTCCATTCTTGTTGCCGGAATCCAAAGTTCCAGGTTCAAGTACTCAATGTTCGTCTAAATCAAACACTGAAATGGAGGCTTGGAGAATCTAATCAATTGAAGACAGGAAAGGCCAACTTGGAGCCCTAATTCAGCAAAATGTTTCCCCCGAAAAGAATTCCATTCTTGTTGCCGGAATCCAAAGTTCCAGGTTCAAGTACTCAATGTTCGTCTAAATCAAACACTGAAATGGAGGCTTGGAGACAGAGAAAGGTTTATTTGAACTAGCCAAAGCAAGAAGACAGGCAAGCCCAAGTTTCTCTGGTCCATCTCACCACAGAAACAGAGGCAAGGAATTTTATAAGGCCGAGAGGAAAGGGAGGAGGAGTCTTGGGGAAGTTAACAGAAAATCTGTGTTTTCTCTGACTCCAGGTATTAGGTAACTATAGGCTCCTTAGTGCCAGCGGCAGCTGGGGCTGGGTCATCCTGTGGTTGCAGTTTTGTTGACAGCCTTCATTGTTTTCTGCAAAACAGACTCAAAGTCTGCTCATGATCTTTGGGTCATCTCTTCCAGCTTAATGGAAAACCAGACATCAACTTATAATTGTATTACAGGAACAAGTGGTTCTGGAAGGGAAGTTAACAGCTACCAGCAAGCAAAAGTTTAACTGTTACCTTATTGTTACTCCAAGTGTACCGCTGCTCCTAGGAATTCAGCCCGTCCTGCTTGGTCAAACAGATTTTTTAAAGCTATCTTTCCCTTCCCCTAGCTGAGGCCGGTTCTGAAGAGGGTCAAGAGAACAGCCAGGGAAACTGGGGGTTTGTCCCCTGGTTTCATTTTCATGAGCAGACCCTTGTCTTAGTCCATTTTCTGTTGCCTGCAACAGAATACTTGAGACCAGATAATTTATAAGGAACAGAAATTTATTTCTTACGGTTCTGGAGGCTAGGAGGTCTGTGGTTGAGGGGCGCACTGGGTGAGGGCCTTCTTGCTGGTGGGGGACTCTCTGCAGTGTCTCGGGACCCATCAGAAGCCAAACTGGCTTTTCTAACAGATCCACTCTTGTTACAACCCATCAATCCATTAACCCATTAATCTATGAATGGATTAATCCATTCATGTGAGCAACACCCTCATGACCCAATCACCTCTTAAAGGCCCCACTTCTCAGTACTGTTACATTGGGGTAGAGTTTCAAAATGAGTTTCAGAGGGGACAAACATTCAGACCACAGCAATCCATATTTTAAGAAGTACTCGGTTGTTATATTAAATTTCACCAATAAGAACTTTATGGACACTTCTCTCTGATTATACAAGTACTTAAATAAGATCCTTGATGGCCCGCAGAGCCTAAAATATTTGCTCTGGGGTCCTTTATAGGAAAACGTTTGCAGACCCACAGCCTACAGCAATACTTGGCATATAGCATGCAATCCATAAGCATCTGATGGAGATTTTTCTAGCAATAAAAGAAATGAATCTAAAATACGTATACATCCATTTGCACAGAAAAAAACAGATACAGCCAACCAAGAGTTAACAAAGGTAATCCCAAGAGGGTCGGATTAGAGGGGATGTCCACAGACCACACTTCTCTACTGTTCGCCGCCTCTGGTTATCTTTCTCACAATGAGCATGTGGCAGCCTCATCATTTCAGAAGCAACGTCACCGCATCTTTCAGGGAGGCGCTGTGCGCTCCGGGCCTGCAGCTTGAGGCCAGTGGGGGAAGAGTCCTCCGCCCCAGGCTTCCTTACCAAAGCAAAGGGTAAGACGGGAGAGCCCGAGCAGGAGGATCTTCTGAACCTAAAAAGCCCAGCTGCGATCCCCCGCGCCAAGTCCGTGGCTTCCCAGCTCTGCTTCCACCCCCGGCCGCCCGGAGCATCCCGCACTTACCTCACCCCGAAGTCTCCTCGCCGCACCCGCGAGAAGGAAACAGAGGTCCTGACCCGGGCAGGAACTCCCCAGACCCCTTGTCCGGTGGGCAATGCAGCTAGCCAGCCCCTCGGTCCACGAGGCAGGCCTGTGAGGATACCCCCCAGCCACGACGGACGAGCAGTCACCGGCGCACTTCTAACCATCCCTCAGCGCCGCGCTATGGATTCCGCTTGGCGCATGCGCGGGGAAACCTGCGCACGTGCGCCTCGCTAGCCCCTCCCACGCGCCTGGACTCGCGCGGCCTTTTCCTGCCCGCCCCCTGCCCTCACTTCCGCGGTTTCCCGGCGACCGCCGTAAGTGGCGGGGGGGAGGGGCCCGCGCAGCCCCCCCGAAACCGGGTCCCCCCCCCCCCTCCCCCC